GATGGTTTGTATTTCTGTGGAATCTGTGGTGATATCCCCTTTATCGTTTTTTATTGCATCTTTTTTATTCTTCTCTCTTTTCTTTTTTATTAATATGGCTAGTGGTCTATTTTGTTGATCTTTTTGAAAAACCAGCTCCTGGATTTATTGATGTTTGAAGGGTTTTTGTGTCTCTATCTCTTTCAGGTCTGATCTGATCTTAGTTATGTCTTGTCTTCTGCTAGCTTTTGAGTTTTTTTCATCTTGCTCCTCTAGCTCTTTCGATTTTGATGATAGGGTGTCAATTTTAGATCTTTCCTTGCTTCTCATGTGGTCATTTATTTCTATATATTTTCCTCTAGACACTGCTTTAAATGTGTCCCAGAGATTCTGGTATGTTGTGTCTTCATTCCCATTGGTTTCAAAGAACTTCTTTATTTCTGCCTTCATTTCATTGTTTATCCAGTCAACATTCAAGAGCCAGTTGTTCAATTTCCATAAAGTTGTGTGGTTCTGAGTTAGTTTCTGAATTCTGAGTTCTAACTTGACTGCACTGTGGTCTGAGAGACTGTTTGTTATGATTTCAGTTGTTTTGCATTTGCTGAGGAGTGATTTACTTCCAATTATGTGATCAATTTTAGAGTAGGTGTGATGTGGTGCTGAGAAGAATGCATATTCTGTGGATTTGTCGGGGAGAGTTCTGTAAATGTCTATTAGGTTTGCTTGATCCAGGCTTGAGTTCAAGTCCTGGATATCCTTTTTAATGTTCTGTCTCGTTGATCTGTCTAATATTGACAATGGGGTGTTAAAGTCTCCCACTATTATTTTGTGGGAGTCTAAGTCTCTTTGTAAGTCATTAAGAACTTGCTTTATATATCTGGGTGCTTCTCTATTGAGTGCGTATATATCTAGGATTGTTAGCTCCTCTTGTTGGATTCATCTTTTTTACCATTATGTAATGTCCTTCTTTGTCACTTTTGAATTTTGTTGGTTTAAAGTCTATTTTATCAGAGATGAGAATTGCAACTCCTGCTTCTTTTTGCCCTCCATTTGCTTGGTAAATCTTCTTCCATCCCTTTATTTTAAGCCTTTGTGTATCCTTGCTTGTGAGATGGATTTCCTGGATACAGCACACTGATGGTTTTTGGCTTTTTATCCAATTTGCCAGTCTGTGTCTTTTGATTGGGGCATTTAGCCCATTCACATTTAGGGTTAATATTGTTATGTGTGAATTTAATCCTGCCATTTTGATGCTAGCTGACTGTTTTGCCCATTAGTTGTTGTAGATTCTTCATTATGTTGATGCTCTTTACCATTTGGTACATTTTCAGAGTGGCTGGTACTGGTTGTTCCTTTCTATGTTTAGTGCCTCTTTCAGGAGCTCTTGTAAAGCAGGCCTCGTGGTGATGAAATCTCTCAGTACTTGCTTGTTCGCCAAGGATTTTATTTTTCCTTCACTTATGAAGCTCAGTTTGGCTGGATATGAAATTCTGGGTTGAAAGTTCTTTTCTTTAAGGATGGTGAATATCGTCCCACACGCTCTTCTGGCTTGTATGGTTTCTGCTGAAAGATCTGCTGTGAGTCTGATGGTCTTCCCTTTGTGGGTAACCTAACTTTCTCTTTGGCTGCCCTTAGCATTTTCTCCTTCATTTCACCCCTGGTGAATCTGATGATTATGTGCCTTGGGGTTGCTCTTCTTATGGAATATCTTTGTGGTGTTCTCTGTATTTCCTGAACTTGAATATTGGCCTGCCTTGCAAGATTGGGAAAGTTTTCCTGGATAATATCCTGAACGGTATTTTACAACTTGGATTCATTTTCTCCATCACATTCAGGTACACCTATCAAATGTAGATTAGGTCTTTTCACATAGTCCCATATTTCTTGGAGACTTTATTCATTCCTTTTAACCTTTTTTTCTCTAGTCTTGCTTTCTAGTTTTATTTCATTGAGTTGATCTTTGATCTCTGACATCCTTTCTTCTGCTTGGTCAATTCAGCTGTTGAAACTTGTGTATGCTTCATGTAGTTCTCATGTTGTGTTTTTCAGCTCCATCAATTCACTTATATTTCTCTCTAAGTTGTTTATTTTTATTAGCATTTTGTCAAGAAATATATGACTTCCTGTTAATTATCATTTTCCAGATTAGATTTGTATGACAGCTAGATAAAATTTCCCAGCCCAGTCAATACTAATTAACACTTTAATTTGCTAGTGACACATTTTGGGGGTAAAAAGATCCACTTTAAAAAAAACAGTACTTTTTTATACTTTTCTACATTATGAGTTATGCTATTTGCATAATTTGAAAGTGTCTATGAAGTTAACGCTTTGTAGATATACTTTAGTCAGTTGTAAAACTCTTGTTCTTTGGCTTGCTCATAGTACCTTTAAGCTATTAAAAAATTTCAGGTACTCCAATAAATATTATCTGAATTACTTTAAACACATTTCATTTTTATTGACTTGCTCATATATTTCTTTTTCACTGTCATCTGCAATGATATACTTTTTTGTAGAACCAAGGATAAACATTCAAATAAGAACAATTAAACTACAGTGGAAATACATTAGAGAGAAACATAATAGTTATTAGTAAATTATTCAGTAAAACTTGTTCTTCTGAACAAGTTTTTAAGCTCTCTGTAGCATAATTTCCATCAGAAAAACATGATGGTCTTAATGACTCAAATCTAAAAGTCATATTCTCCTCAGGTGAGCAGGTTAATTTTCTATGCAGTTAGTTAATTGCAAGAAGACTTCCCTTATTGCTACTTACTTAAAAGGAATGTTGCCATGGTCTTTTAGATATATATTTTATGAGAAATGTTATTTGTAGCAAATTTTGTTTTTTCTGCCTCTGAACAATTTTGGAGTGGGAGGGGGAGGTGGGGAGGGATAGCCTGGGGAGAAATGCCATACGTGGGTGAAGGGGAAAAGGAAAGCAAAGCACACTGCCATGTGTGTACCTACGCAACTGTCCTGCATGCTCTGCTCATGTACCCCAAAACCTAAAATCTAATAAAAAATTTAAAAAAAAAGGAAATATTGATACATTTTACAATTCATAAAGATGAAATGTAAATGTTTCAAAGACAGGAACTCTTGATCTTCTATTATTTTGTACTTCTGCATATTTGATCTTACCTATTTTCTTAAGCAAAATCTGTATATGATACCATATTATTTACAAAGTTGTGTAAAGTGATTTTATTTCTAAATCAATTTCTTTTTAAATAATATTGAGGAAAATAGACCCCCCAAAAAAGGCTTTATCTGCAACAAGTTAGAAGACACATTATGTATATATAAGGTTATGGATAAATTGATTGGGGAAAGTCAATATGTGCTTGTATTTTGTTTATTTTTACCTCTATTTTGCAAAGTATTGTTTTGAGTGTTACTTCTCATTACTTTTTATTATTTTGAGTGTTACTTTGCAAACCGAGAAGATCATTTCAGTTAGCTTTCATGTAACAACAGTAAGTTATTACAGACCTTCATGGGTAATGGAGGAAAAAACATATATCTTTCTTATATCTAAGAAATAGTATACCGAAGACAAATATATCAAAAAGTTGGTCACTAAAATTTGGTTTTCATATAACCAATGAAACAATATACATACATACATTTTATGTGTGTGTATATATATGTTACAGTTCTTGTCTCAATACTAGAATTTGTGTGCTTCCATCAGAAAACCATAAACACGACACACTCAAAAAGGCAGACTCACCTTTATTTAACAAAAGGATTGAGGGTGAAATAAATTCTCAACAAATTGAAGTCACAACAAACAAGCAAACACACAACAAATAATGCACCTAATACTTCCTTACAGAGAGCAGAATCAGGGACTAATTAATAAGTATTCTCATCCCAAGATAAGGAGCTTCATATTACTTGTGGAGTGAGAGGTGAGATCCTGTGATTACTAAATTACCCCCATTCTTCCCTTTTCTGAGAATTTCTTTCAATTAGTGTTTCTGTGTTCCACTATTACACATTGCGGGTATATAGAACAGATGTTTTGTCTTATACTTAGTGCACAGTTCCAAAGACAAACATAAACACACATGGTGAAGTCAAGGGCAAACTCTTCCACTTTCCAGGAATTTTGAACTGTAACTGTATAGAATTTAGGTCTCCCATAGGAGCAAGTGAGTGTGTTCAATGTGTCAGAAAGAATGTGAACCAAATAATTTCTTGTGAAAATAATGGACTGTGTTAAACATTAATGGTTATTGTCAAATATTTAGTTTTTCTCACTTCTAAAAGTGTTGACAAATTTAGCAACCTGTTAAATTTAAATTTCAGAAAACCCCCACAGTAGATAGATTTTTATATATCATACTGTTATACTAATACTATGTTTTTTTGTAAAATTAAAATTTAACTGGGCATCCTATATTTTACTCAACAATTTCACCTCTATGCCACATGACAGACTGTTTCCAAGGCTCAGGCACAATTAAGAAAAGCCATTTAGCTAGTTTTACTACAGGCTTTTGAAAGGAAATGATGCATTTCAGCCCAAGATAAAACTATTTAATTGTGACAATGCAAATCTTTTTACATTTTTCCATCTCTAGGATCCAAGTAGACTTCAATTTGAGATGCTGGAATAAAATGGAAGCATCCTGTATTGCCAATTCACTGGCCTCTAAATGAGTAACAAATAAACATGGTCTGTTTGATATAACCCATATCAAATCATCACTATGACATCCAGATTTTTATCTTTTTGCCTTTTCTCTACTGCTTCTTTATTTTATCACAGCCTCCTACCATTTAATACTATCTTACCTCACTTTCCTTCCAACCATCTTGTACTTTTGCCACAGCATGCATAGAGACTCATAGGTCAGATGCATAGCCTCAAGATTAAAAAAATAAAAAAAAAAATGAATAAGTAAACAAAAACAGCTATGGTATCTTTGAGGAAAGAATGGAATTATACTGAGTTTTAGTACTAGTCTAATTTCTTTTCTTTTTTTGTTTTTTTTTTTGCCAATCAGTTTGAGCTTATGAGGTTAGCCTTGAACTGACGACCTCGCCTTCGTGAGCGCCATGACCTCCGGTGGGAGCCACTTTGGACCCCGTAGTAGTCTAATTTCTATGTGTAAGTTCTCTTTCAGCTCTAATAAGATGACCCTGTCATGAGAAAATTAGCTACAGATCTAGAAAAGATTTATTCTTTTTGAAGAATATTAGTAGATGGCAAGATGGAGAAATTAGAGAGATTATCTCTATACAGTAATCTCTACTATTCTAGAGACAAAATATATTTACCTTGTTGGTATAGAAGACTGAATTTATTGGCAGTGGGACCCAAGATACTTTGTGTCAACATGTCAGAGTGAAACAAAAGCAGCACAGTCTTTCAGCACTAGGTTGAGGAGATAATATTTTTATAAATGTTGACATCAGGAAAATTCTGAATAGGCATAGAATTCATAAGGAAGAAAATAAGTTATGAGGAGAAAAGAATAAATTGAGCATTTTTGGGGGAAGAGAACTAACAGAAAAGCCAACAATGGTCATTTTTGTCAAGAGCTCTTTTTTATTAGTTTGTTTTGTTTGAAACTGCATTGCTAATTATGGGCCTAGACTTAGTAATTTTTTCACATTGAAAAGTTCCATGGAAAAGCTACTCTATGTCAGTAATTCCTTGGAACAAGAGAAAGTTACCTCACCATTTGTGAGAACCCAGAAGAGAAAGCCGCTGGGTTGGCTTCTCTGATATGGTAGTAGCAGAGAAAGGACCAACACCATTCCTTGACAAGAATGGACACTAAAGTATGCATCAAACTTTGATCTTCCTCATTTTACTAACATAATGACATAATGAAGAACTATTTGCAGAGGCCATTCAGTTTTGTTTTGTTGTGACACTTATATGTGATATTTCAAAAATCAGATTAATTAAATATGTTGAGCTACCCACTGTGATATGTGCCATCAATAAAATTGACACAACTCATACAAACCAAAATCTGTTTATTTCTCATATTAATATATTTGATATTAATTTGATCACATATGTAAATAATCACTTAAGTCACTTGAGATCTGTTCCTACTGAGAATTAAAATTAGAGAGATTCCATTTTTTAACCACTCATTCCTTAAAATTACAATACAGAATTACCAATAAATATGTCATTCTGAAAAACAATTTTGTTTTAATATTATTTGTCAAAGAACACATTAACAACCTGTTAAGGTAAAATCTGTTTTGAGATGAGAATTGTGTTCTCATAATTAAATAGTAACCTTTAAAAAGAAAAGAAACAAACTCATTTACTTGTGTAGGTGCATATGTGCTTCATTTTCTCTTACCCTGGTTCAAAATATGTATCAGAAATACTTGAAAGCAATAGAGATATTTAAATCTATCAGTGTATTTTAGAAATATAATCTTGTTCCTCTTTGAATTCATTTTTAAATAGAAAATTAATTTTAGCCAGATTATTGGATTCCAAGATAAAATTTTTAGGTGTTACCTCAAGGAAATACTGTATATTATTTAAAAAAACAACAAAAGTACTGTCAGAAAGTGAAAAGTTCTTTTAAATATTAAGATTCAAGGTAATGATAAATTTTTTTTACAAATCTTGAATATAAAATCGTAGTCTTATTAAAAGCAAAATCTTTAAAATATGAAAGTTTTTATATCTTCTAATACCAATATCCACGTGATCAATATTATTAATAATACAAAGCCATTATTAAGAGGATTGCATATTTTCTATACTTTACCTTAATACAGAGTTACTTGAAATATATTAATTTAGATGTATTTGCTTGTATTATGTAAGCTGAAAGACCAATATTTTTAATCTTACTGTTTTTGTACAATTAACAAATGTCTAGTGAATTCAGTTATATTTTTGAAAGTTCTAAACGCTGTACATCATTATCATGAAACTGGAAATGATTAATTGAGACTTCTGCTCTGTTTAATCGATATTTTTTGTTAGGATATTAGCCTGTCATCCTGAACAATTGCAATTATTTTCAGGATGAAACTAGCTGGTTTTGAGATCCCCTCAAGTCTCCAAAAGCATTTCTGTTTCTTTTTTTCTTTTCCTGAGCAGGAGTCTTTTTTCAAATGCAATGTCTTCTACCTGTGATCAGATGCAATGTCATCTATCTGTTCATAGAACTACCAAAAACAAAAGAAAAGACTTTCTGATGCTTAAAAACTGCACAACTACCACTAAGATAAAAGCAACTATAGATGTAAATTTATCTTTCTGAGATTGCCCTTTCTCTAGAGTTTTTAGCACTTCCAGTTTTTATTTTCTTATTTTTTCTGCCATCACAAAGATTATTTCTTTATTTTTTCTGTATTTTACTTCTTCTCTGATGAATTGATCTAGTTTCTTCAATATACCCTCATCTCTATGTTTAAAGTTTACAATGTATTTTCTTAATTATTCTTCATTGAAAAGAAAACAGATTGATTACTTGAATGGTTGTTTTAAATACATCTTACAAATTGACATAATTTAAAATGAGATAAGAATTAAATTCCAAAAGCACTAAGAACTCTAATAGAAAAATATTCATAAGCAAGCATTAGGACTTCAAATTCTCCACAGCATAGGAAAGAATAGTTGTTTGTATCAGTCCTTCAGGGGACATACAGAGTAGAAGAGACAAATGCTTGCTGATCATCCAGAAATGAACATAATGGTGAATACTTTCATCGAGAACAGCCTGGGAAAAAATTATTTCCTTTATTGTAGACATATGTAGAATTTTCTCATAACAAGCCCCAAGGAATTCCTAATAATCATTAAAATTAATCAAGTACCACAAATTTTAGGTAAAGGTTTAATGTATGAGAGGAACACAGATTTTAATAATAGAGTGATGTGGGTTGGAGTCCTGACACCACCTATTAGGATTTATCTGAAAATGTTTGGTTTTTTAGTCTTGAGAAAGAACATCATAATTTGGGATCACTGTTAATAAAGAGGATTAAATGAGATAAGTCATCCCAAAGAATAAAATTTGCGTGGTTGTCTTATACATGCTGTTTTTTATATCCATGCCTTTATTTCTCTTATCTTTTCCCTTCTTCATTGGTACATAATAGTTGTATATATTTTGGAAGTACGTGTGACACTTTGTTGCATATGTTCATACAATGTGTAATAACCAATAATCAAATCAGGATAATTGGGATATCCACTTCCTCAAACTGTGTGTGTGTGTGTGTGTTTGCCGTGCGCGTGCATGCGTGTGTGTGCAACATTTTCTTCTAGCTATTTTGAAGTATACAATAAATTATTATTAATAGTCACACTACTGTACTATCAAACACTAGAACTTATTCTATGTAACTATATTTTTGTACACATTAACCAACTTCTTTTCATTTCCCCTCCTCTCTACCTTTCCTAGCCTCTGGTAATTATCATTCTATTCTTTACTGTCTATGAAAAAAATCAATCTCTGTAAAATGTTTGAAAATATTTGTCCTGAGCCACATATGAGTGATCATGGTCCATGACACAGCCCTCAGGGAACCCTGAGAACATGTGCCCAAGGTAATCAGGCCACAAGTAGATTTTATACATTTTAGTGATACATAAGACATCAATCAATACATGTAAGATGTATGCTAATTTTGTCTAAAAAGGCAGGACAACTTCAAACAAGGGAACTGAGGCAGAAGTGTAGCATCTGGAGACAGGAAGCATTCACTTCAGCTTCCAGCAGTCACAGGCCAAGTCTTTATTTGCATAGGGTGTAACTTTACTTCAGTCTCTGATTGGTTGCAAGTCAAGTTTTCATTTACACAGGGTTTAACCAATAGGAAACCTCTTGAAGAATATTAAACCCCAGATGATTTTGCAACAGGGCTCTTGAGCCACTTGCTCAAGCCCTGAGCCCTTGAGCCCACTCTTGCTCTGTCGAGTTTACTTTGCTTCAGTAAATCTATGCTTTTATTGCTTTGTTTGTACATTTTGTTCAACATGACAAGAATCTGAACAACTTCTAGTCAAAACTCTCCACCCTACACCAGTAACAGAGCTTCCAGATTATAGGCAGAGTCAAAGATTTTTCTGATTGGCAGTTCATTGAAATAATTTATCTAAAGACTTAGAAACAATCTGCGTTATTAAAGAAGAGATTGTGGAGACTAAAGTTCAGATAAAGCCTCCAGGTAGCAGGCTTTAGAGAGAATAGATTGTTCCTGTTTCTTATGAGACTTAAAGAGGTTTTAGACTCTCAGTTGATTCTCTCCCAGATCAAGAAAAAGGCCACGAAAAAGGAAAGAGATTCTCTATCATATGTAGATCTTTCCCCACAAAAGACAACTTTGCAGGGCAATTTCAAGACGGCAAACATGACAAAGAAACATATTTGAGGTTAAAATATTTTGATTTCCTTCCTTATCTTACATGTGATGTTATGCCAGATTCAGGTTGGGGCACATTATATAGAGTTAAATAAAAACCCACTGATGAGATTTTATGGTTTGTAGGGTATGACCTTCTGGTCTCCTTAGATAGGAATTAGGAAAAGAGAAGAAAAATGTCAGAGTTTATCCTCATGACCATCATGAGATCCACATTTTTAGCTTCCACATATGAGTGAGAACATGCAATATTTGTCATTTTGTGCCTGTCTTATTTCACTGACATATATTTTCTACCAACAATGAAGAGTTGTAACCTTAATAAAAGTATACTGTTCATTCTACTAGGCCAATGGAAGTTTAGAGTAAGTTACTAATTTCCTGAAAATGTAGAGCCAAGGAATTGCATGCTTTTTTCCTTATTTTAGTTGTTTGAAGTATGCATTTGAAATATGTTATTCACCCCTTGTTCCTCATTGCTGAATATACAAATTTAAAGTTAAATAATAGTTTTGTTTCTCAGTTTTTACATACATTCTGAAATGAAGTTAATTTCTGTTTCATTTATGCTCTAATTTATAGAGAACACATGTTTTCAAAAATTGAAGCACACAATTAACATTTTTTTATTTTTAAGTATGCCCCTTAGATTCCTAGATTTATAGGTGCTTCCAGGGAATTTTTCTCCCTATAGTGGAATAGTTTTAGAGCACATACAATTTATAGGTATTTATGCATTTATTTTTAATTTACAAAATCCATTAATAAAATTCTGAAAGCTCTGTTACCTCCTAGTTGTTGTATAAACAATAATCAACCAAATAATCATAAACTAGCACACTTGAAGTCTGATAGTGAAATAAAGATGAGGAAAGGCATTGGAAAAAAAATCAGCTTTCAGATAAAAATAGCTACAAATTCTGCTAGGTACAATGAAATAAAATACAGACACCATGCTATGTCAAATAGGAGTAGTAGTTATAGTATATTTCAGTGATAGAGAAACTATTACTGGAGAAATGACACATAAACTGATGGATAGAGGATGAGCTGAAGTTAATCATTGGAAGATTCTTTACAAGGGGTTTGTGAGTAAATAGAATAGCATGATCAAAATTACAGATCCATAAAAGTGTTTGGCATTTTAAAGAAACTCACATCTGGCTATAGTGTAGAATGAAAGAGCTGGCATTAGATGAAATTAAATAGATGATCAAATATCTTACAAGAAATTGCTGAATTTTGAAATAAATAAATTTTTATGTAGAAAATTATGGGACCACAGAAGTTTTCTTTCCTTTTTTCTTTTTCAGTGAAAATCTAAAACTATCCCAATAACACAGCACTCAAAACATTTTCTACAAAATGTTCTTATAATTGCAACTTGGATTAATTACAAAATATAGGCAGATTAATATTTGTAATTTTTTACATGCGAAATTAGCAGGTGCTAAGTGTTTACAAGATCCATATTATGGCACAAATTGCTTTATTTTGGTTATGTTTGATAAAATGCCACTAAAGATTTATATTTTAGTAGAATGTAGATATAATTATGAGATAATGGATACAAATGTTTCTAAGATTATATTAAATTGTCATGCAGCAAATGATGCTAATAGCAACAGTACACTTACTTCACAATTTAGTTGATGAATGTTTACCTTTCTAAATTGGCATGACTCAAAGAAAGCATTTGTAAACCAAAAGTATGTGAGACAGGTCTCAATCAATTTAAAAAGTTCATTTTGCCAAGGTTAAGGATGTGCCGTCAGGAGGCAGGTCTGTGCCTTCTTCAAAGATGGATTTTTAGGATTTCAATATTTAAAGGGGAAGGGTGGTTATTCAGGGAAGAAAAAGAAAATTTTTTAACGTATGCGTGGGTAAAAGACAAATGGTTGCATCCTTTTGTTCCTTTTCAGTCTTTGTTCGGTCTTTTACGCATTGGGTGGGTGGTAGAGACATAGTTACTTATGCCTTCATCTGGCTCACTGAATCTGCATATGTACTTCAGCTAACATAAACCTATCAGACAAAATAAGCAACCTGATCTGCATTTGTCTCTGGTGAGCAAAGGGAGGACTTTGAGTTCTGTCCTTTGTCTTACTGTAACACATTAGATTATAAATATTGTATGAAGAATGGAGTCTGAAATTTAGTAGATTTGGTTTCAGAATTCTAACTCTATCAAGTTGATAGTTTTTCTTTCAGATACTTCACTTACATAATTACAACAAGAATATTTATGTCATAGACATTTTAGTATACAGGAGGTAAAACATTATCAATATTAGTTTGTGTTTATTGAGCAATGGCTATGTAACAGGAAGTATTCTAAATACTCATTTAATCAACAGACTAAACTTACCAGAAACATAACTGTGTTATTACTATTTTATGAATGACGAACCTAAGAATATGTCCAAGATTCCTCAATTAATTCATGATGATGAAAGGATTTCAAGTTCAAGTTTTTAACAACATGCATTTGCCTTAATTGAAAACAGAGATGATTGATATATAGAGAAGACATTGCTGTGGAAGTGACATATAAGATGATGAAGAGTAGGAGGCAAAAGCTTGAAATTTCTTTAGAAATGGCATGTGGGCTTCTTTTACATTTTGTGGTCTCCCAAAACAGGGAGTGGCGATTATAGATATAAGATAATATGTGCATATACTTTTTTATTGCTATCACAGAGTTTATCATAATACATTCTGAATAAAATTAACTGAATGTATAAATAAAATGTAGCTGAATATTTACTTCAACCCTTTTCTTGGCTTCTTGCCCTTGTTAGATATTCATTATGTCAGGTTTGATTCTGTTTTACAGCTAAAGGTTATGGAATACCTATAAGATCGAAATAGGCATAATTCTGATTTAGTTTCTAGCAACTGGAATACTTCCCCTTTTGTATTTTCCTTTTTGTCTTAACACTACAAATGAAACGGTTTTTTTTTTTGATATTTAAATATGGACGATTTTTATTGACATGTAACATATAGTTAATTAAACAAACACTGAAAATCTTGACCCTGCACTTCCTTCTAGTTTCAATACTATCTAGTTTTAGCATGTACAAAGTGAAATAAATTACCCACAAAATCTAATGTGCTATATCCAACTCTTAATCTATTGTAGTGTATGTACTAGCTTTATTATTTTTTGAAAAGCTACTCACTCATGTAAATAATGAACAAACATTATGTAAAAACAAAGTTCTTATCTTGCTGTTTTCCTTCACAGTACTGGAAAATATCCAGCTAGACATGAGAGAATGTAACTGGAGGAAGACAGCCGTGTGTAAAAGAACATATCCATTATTAGGAAATTACAGAAATTCTAGAGCACAATCCATTAGTACCAAAGAACTTTGGGTAAGTTGGTCCAAATAATCAGACCTCATATTTCCATTCACATAATCTAATGCAATATCAAAAGAGCTACATAAGCATTTTGTCTAAACTAGTGGTTTCTGAGCCTGACAAGTAGCATCTAGATACTTAGTTTTAATAGCTTTTCAGCCTCTGTGCAGAAATGAGTTTAGAGTAAGTGTTAAGCAAGACCATTAACAGTACCAGCTGAAGGAGAGAATAAAGATAGACACTCAATTATATGGCAGAAGCACTGAATGGACTGACAGAGGACCATGAATTCTGATGAAGACGGCAAATATGTAATCTGTTAAAGCACAGGAAATAAGATTCATTTTGGATATGTTGATAATAGGCTTCCAATAAGACAATCAATTTGAAATTTTGATATATGATACATATGACCTAGATGGTTGTACTTATGAATCTAGTTTTTAGAAAAAAAAGATGTAGGTAAAAGAAATAAATTTTATATATACCAAAAAGCCTTTGTAGGATGAGATATCATTCTGAGAAAGGGTCTAGGTAGAGATGGTGGGAGGGCAATGAGGGAATGCATGCTCATTTAGTATATGCCCTGTTTCCCAAGTTATAATAGATAAAAACCAACATTATAATATAATAAGTGACCAGACAAAAATGTGTGTTTTTAAAAAATGACAACTAATTCTAAAATGTATATCAAAATACAAAGAACAAACAATAATAAAAATTATGAAAATAAGAAACAAAGTTGGATGACTCACATTGCATGATTTCAAGGCTATTACGAAGCAACCAATAAGTAAGATTATAAAGTATTGCTGTTAAAATACACATATGGATTAGTGGAGGGGGGGGAAAGAAACAAGAAAAAACCCTCAAATGGATAGCCAATTAACTTTAAATAAAAACATAAAGGTAATTCAAAAATAACCAGGAAATATTGTCAACTAATGGTTCTAGAATAATGAATATTTATCTGTAAGAAAAATGAAAGCCCACTCTTACCTAATGTCACATACAAAAATTAGATAAAAATAAATCACAGACCTAATAGTGAGCAGTTACCTTACAAATATATCAGAAAAGAAACATGAGAGGAAATCTTTGTGACCTTGAGTTTAACAGAGATTTCTTAAATAGTACACTAATAATATCATATAAATTATATGGCTTCATCAAAATTTTTAAAGCTAACTTTTTAAGACATACTCATAAGGAAATAAAAAGATACAACACAAGCTAATAGAAAATGTTTTATAAGTGCCTAACTAATAAATAATTTTATCTAGATTTTAAACCTACAAATGGCAAATAAATGCATGAAATGATGGTGAACCTTATTAATCGTCAGTGTAATCAAGTTTAAACAACAAAATACTATTTGCACAACAACTAGGTGACTAAAATTTATAAAGCTAACCATGAGAAGCATTAGCAAGGAATAACAGAAATTCTAATTTGTTTGTGAAGATACAAAATGACATAATCAGTTTGGAATGCAATTTTGCAAGTTCTTATAGAGGTAAACATAATATCACCATTGGAGCAGCAATTCCACTCTTAGGTATTTATCTATGAGTAATGAAAAGATATATCAACAATAAAGACAGGTTCCGATAGATTAATAGAGGAATTTTTTTATAATTGAGAAAAACTGGGACCAATATAAATATCTACCAACTGCAAATTGGTATTAAGCAAATTATGATATTAACACAAAATGGCATACAATTCCATAATAAAAAAGGACTATGGATATATGCAGGAGCTTCCATGAGTCACAAAAAGCATTTAATGGTGAGCAAAATAAAACATATAAAGAAGATGCCACACACTAAAATTTAATTTATAAGAAATAATATAAAATGCAAACTGTAGGCTGGGGGAGGTCTTGTCTATAAGGAGGCAGAATAGGCTTGGGCTCTATGCCTGGGAGTTCTTTCCCTCTCATCTAAGGACTTAAAGAACACCAGGTCTTTGGTGGTGTCTTGGTGTAGAACCTAGAAAGTGAAGGTTCTGTGGAAGAAGAGAAGATGGCACTGTAGGAGCAGCTCAGGATTGCAGCTCCCAGTGAAAGCACAGAGGGTGAGTGGACGCCGCATTTCCAGACAGATCTTTACTGCCCACAGACCAGGAGATTCCGAGGTGGAGGAGCCCCATGGGTCACCAGCATGGCTGTTTTGGTTGGCGCAGCTGTTTGGGCTGGCACATCTGTTTTGGCTGGCACCACAGCACAGCGGCTCTCCGTACAAAATACACTAGTCTGGTTGCCCTGTTAAACAGGCAATTGGAGATCCGGGAAGGCAGATTAGCACATTCATCTGATTAAACGGGACTGAAACATAAAGCCAAGCCAGGAGATTCCCAGGCAGTGACGTTGTTTCAGCCGGTGCAGTGGGTTGCCACATGGGAAATCACACAGATCCCGGCGCCTTTTCAGCAGGCAACTGGAACACCTGGGAGAGAGTCAATCGTTCAACTTAAAAAAAAAAGGGGGGGGCTCTGAGGCAGGGAGCCAGGTGATAGGGCTCAGTGGGTCCCACCCCCACAAAAACAAACAAACAAAAAAAACTGCAATCGGAAATGCTTCAAGTTGAGAGTTTCACAGCAAGCACAGCTGAACCCAGGACAGTGCAACTTGGTGGGGGAGGGGTGTCTGCCATTACCAAGGCACTCCACCCCTATGGAGGTAGTCTGCCATTGCTGACGCAGCCTGCCATTGCCGAAGCAGCCTGCCATAACAGAGTCTGCCATTACAGAGGCAGGCCACCATCACCACAGCAGTTCTAACCACACCCATATAAACAGGACTGCAGGGAAATACACACGGCAGCAGGGCAAAGCCCACAGCAGCAGGGTGGACCCCATAGCAGCTCAACAAAGCCTCTGCAGGCAGGCAGTGACTAGGCTGTTTCCTTGCTGTGCAGGACAGCCCTGAAAAAAACAAAGGGCAGCAGTGCAACAGATACTCATAAATAAAGCCCTAACTCCATGGGACAGAGCACCTAGGGAAAAAAAGGGGGTTTTATGAGTTATGCTGCAGCAGACTTAAATGTACCTACCTAGCAGCTCTGAATGAACAACAGAGCTCACAGCTCAGCACTTGAGTTCCTATAAAGTACAGACTGTCTCCTCAAGCAGCTCCCAGACCCCCATATATCCAAAGAGTCAACTCACAAAGGACTGATCAGACTGACATTTGGCAGGCACCATTCTGGGACAAAGATAGCAGAAGAAGAAACTGGTAGCAACCCTTACTGTTCTGCAGCTGCTGCAGGTGTTCCCCAGGCAAGCAGGGCCTGGAGTGGACCTTGGCAGTCGTACAGCAGAGGGGCCCGACTGTTAGAAGGAAAACTAAGAAATAGAAATACTTCATCATCAACAATCTGGACGTCCACTCAGAGACCCAATCGGAAAATCAGCAACTACTCAGACGACAGGTGGATAAATCCACAAAGCTGGGAAGAAACCAGCGCAAAAAGGAGGAAAACACCCAAAACCAGAACATCTCACCTCCCACAAGGGACCACAACTCCTCACCAACAAGGGAACAAAGCTGGACAGATAATGAGCATGATGAAATGACAGAATCAGACTTCAGAAGGTGGGTAATGAGAAACTTCTGTGAGCTAAAAGAACATGTTCTAACTTAATGCAAAGAAACTAAGAACCTTGTAAAAAGATTTGAGGAAATGATAACAAGAATGGACAACTTAGAGAGGATTATGAGTGAATTGATGGAGCTGAAAAACACAACAAAAGAACTTTGCGAAGCATGCACAAGTTTCAACAGCCGAACCAACCAAAAGAAAAAAGGATCTCAGAGGTCGAAGATCAACTCAATGAAATAAAACGAAAAGGCAAGATTAGAGAAAAAAGTGCAAAAAGGAATGAACAAAGTTTCCAAGGAATGTGAAACTATGCAAAGAGAACTAATCTACGTTTGATAGGTGTACCTGAATGTGACAAAGAGAATGAACCCAAGCTGGAAAATACTCTTCAGGATATTATCCAGAAAAACTTCCCCAACCTAGTAAGGCAGGCCAATATTCAAGTCCAGGAAATATAGAGAACACCATGAAGATATTCCATAAGAAGAGCAACCCCAAGGCACATAATCATCAGATTCACCAGGGTTGAAATAAAGGAGAAAATGCTAAGGGCAGCCAGAGAGAAAGGTCAGCTCATCCACAAAGGGAAGCCCATCAGACTCACAGCAGATCTCTCGGCAGAAACCCTACACGCCAGAAGAGAATGGGGGCCACTATTCAACATCCTTAAAGAAAAGAACTTTCAACCCAGAATTTCATATCCAGCCAAACTGAGCTTCAGAAGTGAAGGAAAAATAAAATCCTTGGTGAACAAGCAAGTACTCAGAGATTTTGTCACCACCAGGCCTGCTTTACAAGAACTCCTGAAAGAGGCACTACACATAGAAATGAACAACCAGTACCAGCCAATTCAAAAACATACCAAATGCTAAAAAGCATCAACACAATGAAGAACCTGCATCAACTAACCTGCAAAACAGCCAGCTAGCATCAAAATGGCAGTATCAAATTCACACATAACAATACTAACCCAACTGTAAATGGGCTAAATGCACCAATCAAAAGACAGAGACTGGCAAATTGGATAGAAGCCAAAACCCACTGGTGTGCTGTATGCAGGAAACCCGTCTCACATGCAAGGATACACAAAGGCTCAAAATGAAGGGATTGAGGAAGATCTACCAGGCAAATGGAGAGCAAAAAAAAAAAAAAAAAAAAAAAAAAGCAGGAGTTGCAATTCTCATCTCTGAAAAAATAGACATTAAAGCAACAGAGATAAAAAGAGACAAAGAAGTACACTACATAATGGTAAAAGAATCGATACAAGAAGAGCTAACAATCCTAAATATATATGCACCCAATATAGGATCACCCAGATATATAAGGCAAGTTCTTAATGACTTACAAAGAGACTTAGACTCCTACACAATAATAGTAGGAGACTTTAACACTCCACTGTCAATATTA